ACATAATGGTAGGAATCATTACATATATTTTTAAATATTTTTATTGTTTACGGACCTTTATTTTATTTACTTATTTATATGTGGTGCTGAGAGTCAAACCCAATGCCTTACAGGTGCTAGGTGAGCACTCTACCACTGAGCCACAACCCCAGCCCCTCATTATATATTCTTACATGCACACAAAATAACAATACATTTTGATCAATATTCTATCATGCGATTTTGAGAGACAGAGGTAGCAGTCATTCTGGATGTATGGTGTGGAACTGTGTTTTGTGCTGGAAACAGTAGGTAGGAATCAGACCTGGTATATTTAGAAGAGATTTTTTTTTTCTGCCTTATCACCTGGTCAAAGGCTTGTGGGAACACAACAAAAGATGCCCCAGATCTGTGGTTTTAAAATATCAGTCCAAGAACTATGTAATTTAAAAGGTGCACTGGAGGGCATAAGAGGTGTTGTTTAGGTGGAGTGCTTTTTAGCATTCTAGGTAACTCATGATAATTGGAAATATGAACGAATATATGTGAGACATTACAGAATTCTGATGTACATGATTTGTTTATTGGATTGTGGGTTGTTGATCGAGTGGTTTGGTGATTGATGCTGAAGGATGATGTTGCCATTAACAGGAAGGGGGATGGTGGAGGACAAGTGCAGGAGATGCCATACTGTATTTTACAATAATCTTTTATTGAACATGAAAAAAATTGAGGTTTATTCCATGAACTTCCTACATTGTTTCCAGCCATGTACTCATTTTGTTAGATGGCATTGCCACAATAATATTTGAGCTAAGGCAAAAAGATGGAGGGCAGACCCTTTATGAATACTTACTGACAGAGAGAGAGAGAGAGAGAGAGAGAGAGAGAGAGAGAGAGAGCGCGAGTGTGCGCCTAGTCATGGGCAGGCACAAACAGACTCTCAGGATAATGATAGCTATTTTAGGGCTGGGGATGTGGCTCAAGCGGTAGCGCGCTCGCCTGGCATGCATGCGGTCCAGGTTCGATCCTCAGCACCACATACAAACAAAGATGTTGTGTCTGCCGAAAACTAAAAAAATAAATATTAAAATTCTCTCTCTCTCTCTCAAAAAAAAATGATAGCTATTTTATATCTGGGCCCATAGTCAAGTGTCCTCTAGCTACTTGTGTGCTGAGAATATTGGGAGAAGACTATTCCCATTCATTCTTCTAGGACAATATGTATAATAGGCCACAAGGTAACAATTATATAAATTACAACAAAAAATTTCATGGAGATACACCTCAAACTTACCTGTGTAATTTAACTCATATTAGTTTGCCTTACTGGTTCTCTTTATGCCTTTGAGAATAGGCCTTTCCAGGGGGCTGGGGTTGTTGCTCACTGGTAGAGCACTTGCCTAGCATGTGTGAGGCCCTGGGTTCAATCCTCAGCACTACATAAAAATAAATAAATAAAATAAAGATATTGTATTCATCTACAACTACAAAAAATGTTTTAAAAATAATAGGCCTTTCCAATTATCAAGACTATAAGTAACAATAAATATTGGCAAGGATGTGAAGAAATGGGTACACTCATACATTGCTGGTGGGACTGCAAATTGGTGCAACCACTCTGGAAAGCAGTATAGATTACTCAGAAAATGTGGAATGGAACCACCATTTGACTCAGTTTCCGCCTCCTTGGCATATACATAAAGGACTTATTTTAATAATAGCATTCTATAATGACACAATCACATCAATATTTATAGCAGCTCAATTCACAATAGCTAAACTATGGAACCCACCTAGGTTCCCTTCAACAGATGAATGGATAAAGAAAATGTGGTATATATACACAATGGAATATTACTTAGCCATAAAGAAGAATGAAATTATGGCATTTGCCAGTAAATGGGTGGATCTAGAGACTATCATGCTCAGTGAAATAAGCCAATCCCAAAAAACCAAAGGCTAAATGTTCTCTCTGATATATGAATGCTAACTCACAATAAGCCAGGGCGTGGGGTGGAGGGAAGAATAGAAGTTTGCTCATTAAGACATATGGAAATGAAGGGAATGGAGGGAGATAGGAATAGTAAAGACAGTAGAATGAATTTGACATAACTTTTCCATATTCTTATATGAATACACGACCAGTATAACTCCACATCATGTACAAGTACAAAAATGGGAAGTTATACTCCATGTATGTGTGGTATGTCAAAATATATTCCACTGTCATGTATAACTAAAAAGAACAAATTTTAAAAATAAGCCTTTTGCCGAGTGTGATGGCACATGTCTGCAATCCCAGTGGCTTGGGAGGCTGAGGCAGGAGGATCTTCAGTTCAAAGCCAGCATCAGCAACTTAGTGAGGCCCCAAGCAACTCAGTGAGATCCTGTCTCTAAATAAAATACAAAAAAGGGCTGGGGATGTGGCTCAGTGGTTAAGTGACCCTGAGTTCAATCCCTGGTAACTCACCCCACCAAAATAGACCTTTCTTTTGTATTACTTTCTTCCCACTCACATATGTACATGGGTACAAAAATCTCTGAGTTAGGGCATACTGCCAACTTACTTAACTTCACAATTCCTCATTTTTACCTTTTCCTGTAAGAGAAACAGTTGAATAAAATTTTAACTTCTAGGACAAGATACATTGAATCTACTCCTGGTTTCACCATTATACAATATGGGACCTAAAAAGACTACCTAGATGTTTTTCTTAGCTCTTATCAATTATGGGAGAACAAAAGGACTTTAAATGATCTAAATTATCCTATATTTTCCTCAGGACTTCTCTCACTATTTCCCTGAGAAGTTCTTTATGTTTCCCATTGTCTATAAACTTTCTGGCCTGTGACAACAGCCCCATTCTTTTTGTGGGGGCTAGAACGCCTGTGACCAGGTTTTTAGAGTGTACATTAGGTAACAGGTTGTTTTTCTTCCTTTCATTTCCTCCCAAAGCTTATTCCTTCATTCTAACCTGTATGATCTACAGTTGTTTATGGGATTGCTATTGTCCCTCATCACCCATTCATGTCAGGCTTCCAGGCTTCTCGATGTATATGCTCTGGGCCCTGAATAATAATGGATGAGAAGGATATACTGTGCCTGCAGACTGGAGGAGAAGAGGAACCTAGACAGTGTACTCTGGAGAAAGCTGGGAAAGATCATCCCATAGGTTATACACAACATGAGGAGGAAAGTTAGAGCCAAGGCAAGAGCAGAGGTTATTTTTTAAGATATCTAATAATTTAGGATCACTAGTGCCTAGATTGTGGGAATAGATAATGGTCTACAGAGAAGGGCTCTATTCATTAATAATTTAGTATGTTTGTATCATTTGTTCATTCTGCAGTGCTTTTTTAGATACTGTTGTTTACAAGCAAGAAAGAGTCTCTGAGTTCAAGGATACTAACTTGTGAGGAGAGAGAATTTTAAAAATTCAGCATATAGTGACCTACTAATTCTAATAATATTAAATAATATTTACTAAATGCTATATGTGGTTCCAAGAACTGTTTTAAGTACTTTGTAAAGATTTGCTCATTTTATACTCATCACAAACCCTATCATTTAGTATTGTTATTATCCCTATTTTGTAGGTTATAAAATAGAGGCATTGAGAAGTTAGGTAACCTACCCAAATTCACATACCATTTTACTGGATTAGTGTGGTGGGCCACACAAGGTCAGCTTATTAGATGGGCTTACATTTTTAATGAAGGAATTCTGGAGAAAATTAAATTTGAAATGTAATTTAAAGGGTGAGGAGGAAATACTAGGCTAATAGGGTGAGAGATAGTGTTTAAGACTGAGTGATGGGCATGTGTACAAAAGCATGGAAAGAATTGGAAAATCTGCACTTTGGGTATGGTATTTGGCAGAGGGATACTAGTGGCCTGGACACTTGAGGATTTGGGATTTTATGTAGAAACTCAAGGCTATTGTTCATCAGGAGGTCACAGAAGGTTAGTCTGATTGAATCATATAATCAGACTGTGGTCAACCAAGCTGTGGTTATTTATTTGAGAGGAGCTTTTTTTTTTTTTAAATAGAGCTTGTGTAGACCTGGGGTTATGTGAATGTGGAGTGCTGGAACAATTAGTAGAAAGAACTCAGGGAGAAAAACAGGGGAAAAATAAATGCATATTACAGTAATATTTCTTTGCAAGGACCTCCCCCTCCACTAGGGCCCAATTCCAGAACATTATTTGAGTCCAAAAATTAGGCAACTCCTAATCCACTGTCTCTGTGGTCAAATTGTACCCAGAAATATTTGTTGAAGTTTCAGGAAGGAGATGTCTGATATGTATGATCCAATTTGTAGACCTCTGGGGGTGAAATTACTATACATATTTATATTTCAGGCCCTTGTGGTGGCTACTGTTTCAGGTAAGAAATGGTGTGACTGCGACATTTTTCTCTTCTTGAACAAGTTGGAGACATCACATGGAGACCTGTTATAAGTAGGATGTAAATTTATTTGAACATGGTTAGAGGTATGACTGCTGAAAGAACTGCTTGGTGATGGGAGTCCCCCAGACTCTTTGAACCCTGAAGACTCCTTGTAGGGGACCACAAGTAACATCTAGAGGTTGTTGGGGATCATGGAAACAGAAGTCAACAAGAGGCCATCATGGAAGTCTTTCCTCTGAAACCTAACAGACTATAGATTCCATTCCTTGAGTTTGGCTTTCTAAATACCTGTAAGATGTTTCCACTTCTCTTTAACTCTCTGCACGTGTAAGAAGTAAAGACAGTTATGTTCTCTTCTACAGCCTTGTCTTCCTATCAGTTTATTTTACTGCTGCGAGAGTGATCTCTCTGAGAGCCAAATAAGATTGTCAACTCCTTGCCTGCCAATCTCCTTAATAGGATGAGATGGCTCTTCCTAATCTGCTCAATTTTCGGTCTCTCACCATTTTTCCTTCTCCCTCTTTTTAGATACACTTAACACTTATACTTCCCCGCAATGGACTACACTCTGTTGTTACCTCCAGGCCTATTGTGTTTTTTCTTCCAGGAAAACTCAGACCTCCCTGAACTGCTTGATACTTTTCCTGAAGAACAGAACAAGACCAGAAGGAGTGAATGGTGAGTATGACTGAATTTGAAAGCAGGTAAATTTGCTATAAAGTTGCTGCAATAGACCCAAACAGTGGGTTTCAGGCCTTAACTAGAACAGTGATCATATGAATATTAAAGAAGGGCTCACGGGGCTGCAGTTGTGGCTCAGTGGAAGAGGGCTTGCCTCATATGGGTGAGGCACTGGGTTCAATTCTCAGCACATATAAATAAATAAAATAAAGATCCAACAACTAAAAATATTTAAAAGAAAGAAAGACTCACCTCACGGATACAACAGAGATAAAATCTATAGAAGTCACATTATTTGTATATACACTCTTCAGTAATCCCGACTCTTTCCCCTGACTGTAATTCCAGGTTTACTGTGCCTAGGGACAGGACATGTAGACTTACTGTAAACCCATCTCAATGAAATTCAGAAATCCATCATCTCTCCCTGTTTGAGTCCATAGATGGTGTGCACAGAGAAATCCACTCAGGCTTTTCTAGTACCAGTCAATCTGAATTTCTGAGCTAATTGTTTCTTAATAGTAACTACTTAGAGAGACCCTGATTTTCCATTTTTTCCCATTTTATTGTAACAGATACAATGATGGTTTATCTTTTAAGGCAGTTGTTCTTAACTTTGCTGTATGTTGGAATTCACCCACAGATCTTCAGAAAATACTAATGTCTGTCCTCCACCTCAGACATTATGATTTAATAGATATGTGGTGTGACATGAGTATGAGAGCTTTTTACAGCTCTCAGGTTAAAATATGCATAAAAGTTTGAAAACTACTGCTTTAAGGACTTCTGCATAATCAGGACTGGTAGTAGAGCTTTGAGTGGAAGTGTATTCTGGGAGAAGAGCAGAGCTGTCTCTTTGACAGACTAATGTGTTATTCATGGCACATTCTCTGTGAACGATCCAGAGCAAGGTTTCCTGAAGGAATATTGTGCACCTCATCACTGTAAGACATTGGATGTCATGAGTAAATAGAGATTTATATGAAGGGAAATGCCAGATGATCAAATGTATATTTTAAAGTCTTGAATCAGTATTGGAGATGGACTGAAGTAAGAGGTGGAACAAAGAGAAAAGATGAGATAATTCTTTCTAATCTGATAAAAGATTATTGAAATAGTCTGACCAAGGGTGAGGATGTGGGAGTGTGAATAAGCAAAAAAGGTTGGATTATTTGGCAAACCCTGTCTTCATGTCACTCATTCATCTATCTGCAAAGGTGGCAAAGGTAGAGAAAAGAGATGTGACAATCAAGTGATAAGTTGAACCTTCCCCAGATCTGCTTAGCACAGGTAGTCAGGAAGGAGGAAAGGCAGAAAGTACTAAAGAGAGAAGATGTTGAAGTTGTCTTAATGAGGAGTTACTGATCTAGTCATGACCTGTGTGAGTAGCAGCACTTGCTCCCCGAAATACAGTGAAGAGATGGTTAGTGATCCCTGAATAGGCCTGGCATAGGAAGAGAAGCAGAAGCTTCTGTTCCCCCAAACCAAGAACTCTACTGCAACTTCTCTTGATAGATCTTTCTGTAGCCAGAGTGACCTGTCCAAGTGTAGAAATAGCCATGAATCATGCTCTTTCTTGAAATGACTTCCCATTACCCTTGTGGAGGATGAATGAATTCACCACACATCAAATTGGCTGACAAAGCTCTTAGAAAGATGGCTTCTTTTCTCTAACCTTTTTCTCTGGCTATGAGACCCCTGATGATTTTCTCCAAAGCCATTGGAGTTTCTTATTTGCTTCCTGTCACCCTCTGTGCCTACTTTTATCATAGAACTTAGATTAAGTACCTGAATAACCTGGTGACTCTAATCTCTATAATGCACCTTAAGAGCAATGACAATGTCTCATTAGCTATTATATTCTCAGATTGTCAGATGTAAGGTCTGACAAATTGTACACACAATAAATAAATAAATGAATAAATTGGTGAGTTTATTAACTTAGGTATTTTGTTATAGGAATGGAAAACAAACTAACATAATAGCTGATGGATTGGCAGCTCAGTCTCTGAACCCAAACTCCCAGTTCATCATTTAATAGCTGTATATCCTTGGTCAATCTTATTAATATCCCTGTACTTTAGTTTTATCATGTGTAAAATGGAGGAAATAATTGCACATATCTGTGGGGTTGTTAGGATGATTAGAAGAGTTAATATTTTTAAAAGTACTTAAAACAGCATCTGATATATGATAAATGCATATACATGTTTGTTTTCAAAAACAGACTAATAACTTTGGAGTTACAGTACCTTTTTTGTACTAGGTCTTAAACCCAGGGCCTTATGCATTTATCCCTAGCCCTTTTGATTTTTTTAAATTTTATTTATTCAATTTGCCCAGGATAGCTTCAAATTTGAGATCCTCTGATCTTAGGCTCCCAAATAGCTAGAATTATAGACATGTGCCACCATGCCCAGCTGGAATCATAGCTCTACACTATGAAATTTTAAAGTGATGATGATGTAGGTAAATGGTCAAAGAAGCTAAGTCTTTGTAAATGGAGAGGAAGGGTAAGGAAGGAAAAGAGAATATGCACCTGTACACAGGGCTAGGTGTAAGGCGTGGTGATGAAAAACATCTGGATGATGTCCTTAATATCGACCATTTCCAGTGAATGTTATTTCCATTCATCCCTTGTGGAAAATCACAACCAGGAAAGAGTCCTTCTTATTACCTCCGTTTTCTTTATATCCATATGCAGTGCCTATTGTGTCCCTAAGAGCTATTTGAAGTTTCCAGAACACTGCAAAAATCAATAAGGCCATGACCCTGCAATCAGAGTTAGTTAGGTGGTAAATACACCAGGGTTTTATGCAGATAATTTCAGGAGCTTGTTTGATGTGGCTTAACCTGAGAGGGAGATGATAGAGCAAGAGGAGGTTAATATCCTAGTACCTAATCCATATAGGTAAAACTACCCATAGATAGGTATGAAGGATTTGGACATGAAGTGGGGCATACTGGCAGGAATAAATAAGAAGAGCCAAGCTTGGTGCAGTGGTACATGCCTATGATCCCAGCAGCTTGAGAGGCTGAGACAGGAGAACTGTGAGTTCAAAGCCAGCCTCAGCAACTTAGTGAAGCCCTAAGCAACTCAGCAAGACTTTGCCTCTAAATAAAATATTAAAAAGGGCTGTGGATGTGGCTCAGTGGTTAAGAACCCCTGGGTTCAATTCCTGGTACAAAAAAAAAAAAAAAAAAAGAAGGGCCAGATTTTTAAAATAGAAGCCCAGTAGTTGTGTGAGCTTATGGGATTTGACAGTTTTGATGTTTTTAAGGATATGTGCATAAGGGAATCTTCTGACTGAATGAGGGGATGGTTAGATCATTAACAGAGAGAGGGACTTGGTACTGAGAGGAAATTTCCACAAATCTCTGAGGATTATCCATCCAGGAAGTCTATTTAGGCTACCTTACCCCTAGTGTCTGCATAGTAGAAACTACCTCTTCTAGTCTCTGCTGAAGATCATGTAATTGGGGTTTCATACAATATGACTGAAGGTGTTCTATGGGAGTGGTATCCTCCCAAATAGACACTGTCAGGAAATAGAGCCAGTTGACTACATGCACAGGTTACTTCTCAGAGGTAAGAACAAGTATACAGAGGTCTATGATCAATGCCCTGTGGGAGATGCTTCGTGCAGCAGACAACCAGAAAGTCCTCAGAAGTACAGTCCATGAAATGTCATGTTAAGCAGATCCATTTTATATAAAGATCATATGAATGTATCAATTTTTCCTTCTTTATCTGTTTTAGAATAAGTGATCATCAAGACTAGCTTTAAGAAAGACATTGGCAAAGTTTGCTCAATAAGAGTTCATGAGGGACAGCCTCAGTGCCTCTTTTTCTTGTAAAAATATTTCATGATATGCCAGATGCAGTGGGTCATGCCTGTATTCCCAATGGCTCAGGAGGTGAGGTAGGAGGATTGCAAGTTCAAAGCCAGCCTTATTAATTTAGCAAGACTCTAAGCAACTTAGCAAGACCCTGTCTCAAAATAAAAATACCAGGCTAGGGATGTGGCACAGTGGTTAAGTTTCTCTGGGTTCAATTCCTGGTACCCCCAAAAAATATTTCATGATAAACCTGAAGTATTAAAAACATTTTCATTATTAATTATATATGTCTCACTCTTGAGGACTTTTTATGACTTTAACACATGTCTTATGAGGTATGGGCTTTCCTAGGGCAGGCTTTTCTGACTGGAGTGAGGGAGGTTGTTCTAGATTTGATTATTGTATGTCCATGAGAGTTAGTCTAACACTATCATGATGTTCTGGATGTTTTTAACTCTTCTGATTTATTAAGTCTTTTATACCCTTATCACAGTTTTTGTGTTCTGCTCTCCTTCTCCTTCCTTGAGTGTACCTTCTATTGACTACTTTAAAAACATTTAGGTATCTACCTGTGTGTTAGATGGGATGGGTCAGGTTTTTAAGTTTTAGTTGATATTATGACTGAGGACCCAGAGCTTTCACATTCCTACCCTGTTTCTCTACTTCCCCATGAGGTTGTCAGATGAGCTATACTCACAAAAGAAAGTAGGATAATTTTATTTATTCCATTATTGGATGACTTAGTATCTGCTAACACCAGGACAGTACTTAACTGTCAGTCTCTCACCAAGGTTCCAGACCTAAGTGGTTGTTCTTCTGTTTCCCCTAAAGATGAGAGTAAAAACCCACTGCTGTGTGATTTGGATACAAAAGTGTATAAAGGGTTTTCAACTTTTGTCCTTCAAGTCATCTGTTATAGTTTGGATCTGGAATGTTCCCCAAAGATCCATGTACTTAAAGGTTTGGCGCCCAGTGCAGTAATGTCCAGAGGTGAGGGTTTGGGGCTCTAACCTTATCTGTAATCCATTTGATAGGTTAATAATTTTAATGGTCTACTGAGAGGAGGTGAAAACTGTAGGAAGGTGTGTATGGTTACAGGAAGTAGATCACTGGGGGCATTCTCTTGGGGGGAATTTATCTTCTCCATGGCCCTTTCC